AACGGCGATGCAGCCTCCAGAAGGTGTGCAGGTCGACCTGGGCAAGGCCCAGGTCATTGACCGCGTTCCCAAAGTTATCAAGGAGTTGAAGTTTGGTGTTCTGTAAGCATGACTCTGCTTCTCCCAGTTCTACCCCTCTTGGATCTCCGCTGCGGAGCAGTCAAGACTAATACCGTGCGCCAATCGTCCAGGTCCAACGATGACATTGTCAGCCAAGGTGTGGTGGAAGTTTCGGATCGCAAGTTCTTCGACCTCGATCATGATCGAGCGGTGGTAGCCAATGGCCCTCTCGATGCGCGCATGGGTATCTCCAACAAGACCTCATCATGTCAGACTTGTGGTGGCGCTCTGCAGGTTTGCAATGGACATTTCGGTCACGTCCGGCTCGTGTTGCCAGCTTTTCACGTCGGATACTTCAAGCGAGTCATCACCATCCTACAGGAAGTTTGCAAAGAATGTTCGCGCATTCTGCTGCCCGAAGCCGATCGCCGTGCCTACCTTCGTGAAATGCGTCGTCCTGGGTTGGATAATTTGCGGCGCGGCCAGATTGCGAAGCGGATCAACGAGCGGTGTCGCAAGACACGCAACTGCGAGGCCTGTGGTGCGGTTAACGGTGTGGTGAAGAAAGCTGGAACGAGCGCCCTCAAAATCACTCACGACAAATTCCGTGCATTCAACGCCTCGACTTCCGTTAAAAAAGTTCCGCCGCCTAGCAAGATTGTTTTCGACCGGTCATTCGACGAAGCCAGAACGTCCAACGCGGAGGTTGAGAAACATTACAAGAAGGCCCAGGATGATATGAACGCTCTCCGCGTGCTGAACCTCTTCAAGAAGATTTCCGATACCGATTGTGAGCTGTTGGGTCTGAACCCGAAGGAAGCAAGGCCGGAGATGTTCCTCTGGCAGTTCATTCCCGCTCCTCCGGTGTGTATTCGTCCTTCCGTCGGTCAGGATGCGGCGTCCACCGAGGACGATTTAACAGCCAAGCTGGGCGACATCGTCCAGAGCAATATCAACCTAAAGAACGCATTGTTGAAGGGTGCGCCGGTACAGACAATCATGGAGTGCTGGGACTACATGCAGCTACAGATTGCCGTGTATATCAACAGCGATGTGCCGGGTCTGAACAAGGCAGACCTTGGAAAGCCCATCCGTGGTTTTGTGCAGCGTTTGAAGGGTAAGCAGGGTCGATTCCGTGGTAACTTGTCCGGAAAGCGTGTGGATTTCTCAGGCCGTACTGTCATTTCCCCCGATCCTAACCTGCGGGTCGACGAGGTTGCGGTCCCAGAGTTGGTGGCCAAGAACATGACCTATCCCGAAGTTGTTACTCGGTACAATAAAGAGAAGCTACAGCAGAGAGTCCGAAACGGCACGAAGAAGTGGCCGGGTGCAAACTACATCATGAAGAAGGGCCAGACATTCAAGCTCTTCCTTAAGTATGGTAACCTGAACATGATTGCCGACCAACTGCAGGAGGGCGATGTTATTGAACGTCACATCGAGGACGGTGATATTGTTCTTTTCAACCGACAGCCCTCTCTGCACAAGCTCAGTATTCTGTCTCACTTTGCCAAAGTCCGTCCTCACCGGACCTTCCGATTGAACGAGTGTGTCTGTAACCCTTACAACGCGGATTTCGACGGAGACGAGATGAACCTGCACGTGCCTCAGACGGAGGAGGCGAGAGCCGAAGCGATGGAACTGATGGGAGTTAAGAACAACTTGGCTACGCCCAAGAACGGAGAGCCGATTATTTCTGCCATTCAAGATTTCATTAGTGCTGCCTACATTCTCAGTAGCAAGGACAACTTCTTCGACCGCCGCTCGTTCACCCAGATTTGCCTGTACATGCTGGGTCCGCAGACACGCTTCGACCTTCCCCCTCCTGCTGTGCTTAAGCCTCAGATGTTGTGGACCGGAAAGCAGGTTTTCAACATTCTCATGCGGCCGAACAAGGATGACCCTGTTTTGGTCAACCTGGATGCTGCATGCAGAGAGTTCAAGGCTCCCAAGGATGGTACACCACGCGATCTAGACCCCAAGGATGCCTGGCTCGTCATCCGAAACTCTGAGGTGATGTGTGGTGTGATGGATAAGTCCACCATTGGTTCCGGAAAGAAAGACAACGTCTTTTATATTATGCTGAGAGATTACGGGCCGGTAGCGGCTGCCGAGGGTATGAACCGCTTGTCCAGGCTCTCAGCCCGCTGGTTTACGAACATGGGATTCTCGATCGGTATTACCGACGTATATCCCAGCGAAAAGCTCTTACGTTCGAAGCATAACCTCGTCGAAACGGCCTACGCACAGTGTGACGAAGTCATTGCCAAGTACAAGGCAGGCACGCTGGAGAAGTATCCTGGTTGTGACGAGTTGCAGACCATGGAGAACCAGTTGTCCGGTATTCTCAGTAAGGTCCGTCAGCAGGCAGGTGACGAGTGTATTGCTCAACTGAGCAAGTACAACTCGCCCCTAATCATGGCCACGTCTGGATCCAAGGGTTCCAGCATCAACGTGTCCCAGATGGTTGCCCTGGTCGGACAGCAGATTATCGGTGGTCAGCGTGTGCAGGATGGCTTCCAGGACCGTACCCTGCCGCACTTCCCCAAGAACGCTCGCCAGCCCCCGTCCAAGGGTTTCGTCCGGAACAGTTTCTTCTCCGGACTCGAGCCCACGGAGTTCATCTTCCACGCCATGTCCGGTCGTGAAGGTCTGGTCGATACGGCTGTCAAGACTGCCGAGACGGGTTACATGTCTCGTCGGTTGATGAAGTCGCTGGAAGATCTTTCGACCAGATATGATGATACCGTGCGTAACTCGTCGGCGGCCATTGTCCAGTTCCAGTATGGTGATGATAAGCTTGATCCTTTGGATATGGAGGGTAAGGCCAAGCCTGTCCACTTCGACCGGACTTTCATTCACGCCGAATCCACGACTTACAAGAACGACGAGCGGAGTTTGCTTCCGGCTGAGATTATGGAGATCTGCGAAGAGATGCTTTCGAAGGAGCGCTCCAAGCTGGTGCGGAAGGATCTGATGGGCAACGAGCTCGGCTACATGGATCGGTCTGACCATGGCGTCGATCAGTTCGAGAGTGCTCGCGACTTCCTCGAGTCTATCCAGCAATACGTCGCTACGAAGGCAGACAAGCTGATTTCCCGTGGTGGTGACATCGATCCCAACGACGAGAGAAGTCAGAAGGGTCTCAACCACACCGGCAAGCTGACCGAGCGGACACTCCGCACTTTCATCTCCTCGTGTTTGATGAAGTACAAGAAGGCCCAGGTCGAGGCTGGCCACGCCGTTGGTGCAGTTGGTGCACAGTCCATTGGTGAACCTGGTACGCAGATGACGCTGAAGACTTTCCACTTTGCTGGTGTCGCTGGTATGAGTATCACGCAGGGTGTACCCCGTATTAAGGAAATTATCAACGCGTCGAAGGAGATCAGTACGCCTGTCGTTGCTTGCGAGCTCGTCACGAAGGACAATATCATCGCGGCGCGGATCGTCAAGGGACGTATCGAGAAGACCTACTTGCGAGACATTATCCACTATGTCCGTGAGACATGGACGGGCAAGGAAGCCTACATTACGGTGAAGATCAACTGGAAGACCATCCAAGACTTGGCGCTGGAGCTGAAGATCGAGAACATTTTGTCGGCGATCAAGAACCACAAGCGGTTCAAGGCGGACGACCTGAAGTTCCGCTGCTCACGGTCCCATATCCACGTCTACATGGACGTGGACCCGTCCACCAAGGCCAACCTGTCCAAGACGGAGATCGCCCACACCAGTTCCGATCCTTTCCTCCGTCTGAAGCACCTGAAGCGCATGCTACCCGACATCCAAGTCCTGGGTCACCCCCAGGCCTTCCGTGCCATCATCCGAACCGACGAGACATCTACCACCAACACGCTTCTGGTAGAAGGTTACGGTCTCCGGGAGTGTATGACCACGATGGGTGTGGACGGACTGCGCACGTCAACCAACAACGTGATGGAGATGCGGGACGTTCTCGGTATCGAGGCCGCGCGGACGACCATCGTGCAGGAAATCAGCGAGGTCATGAAGGACATGGACATTGATCCGCGACACATGCAGTTGCTGGCCGATGTCATGACCTACAAGGGTGAAGTGCTGGGTATCACGCGATTCGGTCTCGCGAAGATGCGTGACTCCGTGCTGCAGCTGGCGTCGTTCGAAAAGACGGCGGACCATCTGTTCGACGCCGGTGGCGCGGGTCGCAGCGATCTCATCGAAGGTGTGTCCGAGTGTATCATTATGGGCAAGACGGTGTCGCTGGGAACGGGAGCCATGGAGGTGGTGCGCAAGATGAACTTCTTCGAGGGGCAGATCGGGGCACGCAAGACGACGTTCGAAGATACATGGAGCGAGGTGTACGAGGCGCCATTGGAGAGAGCCAAGGCAGCTCGTCGCAAGCGATCATGATATATACATAAAAAAAGCACTCGATAACGAGGACTTGTAAAAGGGACGGGTTAAAAGCATACCAGGCGTTGTATGTTGTGTACTTGTGTACTTTTAGCGATAGCAGAAAACTGCAATTTCACACCATGCCTATTGAAAGTAGTAAACATGAGACTACCTACCTAGCTCTTATCATAGAATAGTAATTAATCTGGTGGTTGCAGCAGCATCAAAACTACCACCTGCTTAATAAGTAAGTCCGATAAAGCCATGCATCCATCCATCCATTAATCACCGCCCCACCCGAACTTTTCGATAACATCGATTTCTCCCCTCACTCTCACACACCCCTCCATACACAATTCACACCTCTCCTCTCACCACCACCTCCTACATTCTCCACACGACATACTCTACACAACCTCACCAACATCACCTCCACCTCCCAACCATCCCCCAATACAACACCAACAACAACAACAACCACGACAATGACCTCAGCAACAACAGCTTCGGAAGAATATCACCCCCCACCCCTCCCCCCACCCTTCCACCACACCCCCTCTCACCAAATGCACCTAATAACCCAAGGCGCCGAAGCCCACCTATACAAAACGACCTACCTGAGTTCCTCCACCCCCGCGGCCCTCAAGATCCGCCCAACAAAGCCCTACCGCCACCCGATCCTCGACCGGCGATTGACGCGTGCCCGCGTCCTCCAGGAAGCAAGGTGTCTTGTGCGTCTTGTGCGCGAGGGCGTGAATGTTCCGGCTGTGTTGGCGGTGGATTGGGATATCAACAATAATACCAACAATAACCATAGTGGTGCTGGAGGGGATGTGGATGAGGGTGTTAGGGGAAATGGGGCATGGATCCTCATGGAGTGGATCGAGGGATGTGTGGTTCGGGTGGTGATTCAGAGGTGGGAGAGGTATATCAAGGCCCGCTGTGCATCTGGTTCTGGTTCTGGTGTGGGTGTTGGGGCGAAGAGACAGGTTGATGGGGAAGTCAAGCTACAGGATAATGAGATTGAGGAAGAGGAGAAGAAAGTCAAGGGGTTGTTGAGACGTGTTGGGGCTGCTGTGGGCGCGTTGCATAAGGCTGGCGTGGTGCATGGGGATTTGACCACGAGTAATTTGATCTTGAGGGGTGCGGAGGAGCCCGCAGCTGAGGGTGATGGGGAAGGGGAAGGGGTGAGTCCTGATATGCAGGGTGAGGTGGTGTTGATTGATTTTGGTCTGGCGAGTCAGAGTATTCAGGATGAGGATCGCGCGGTCGATTTGTATGTCCTGGAACGTGCGTTTGGGAGTACGCATCCCCGTACGGAGCCGTTGTTTGGGGAGGTGCTCGAGGGTTATCGTGCGAGTTATCGCGGGTCCGGGTCGGTGTTGAAGAGGTTGGAGGATGTGAGGATGAGGGGGAGGAAGAGGAGTATGATTGGTTAGGTTTTTCATTTTGTTCTTTTTTGGGTAGGGGGGTAGAGGGATGGTGATGGTGAATGTGCTTGTCATTGAGTCGTTATGTATATGAAAGATTTAGAAGTAGAACGGGAATGAAATGAACAGAACGAATAACGCCAGCCGTGCTCATCCATGCGAGGGTGTAATCAGGTAGTAAGCAGATGAGAAAGGAGATGGAGAAGGAGGAGGATGGTTACGATTTCTCCACGCAGCTGCCTACATCCGCCAGCGCAAAATATCCCTTATTCTCCACCACCCCCCGATCCTTCACCACAGCCGTATACTTGACCACCCACTGCGGCTCGATATCACCCTGGATACCGTCCGGCGCATCCGGCGACGAAGCCAGAATCCCCGCGCCCTTCTCCCCAGGCCCAAGTAGGTCCCGAGTCGTGCCGACAGGCAAGATATCCATGCAGTCGTTATGCGTCAGCAATTGAATATGCTCTTGCTTAGCGTAGAGGATCAGCGACTTAGGCACGACACAACAATCCTTCAGGTTGATCTGATCGACAGACGGCTTGACCTTCGTGTGGGGAAGGAATCGGGCGAGCCGTTCGCTTCCGAATTCCGCGACGCCCAACTGTGAGATCATGCCCTGCTCCTGCAGGCCCTCCAAGGTGCGCCATGTCTGGATCATGCTGTCAAAGTCATCTGGTTCTTCACTGCCATTGTCGGAGGAGACTTCTTCGTCGCTGTCGTCGTCAGCGTCGAAGAGGATGCCCGGGAAAGAGACGATCAGCAGGTCTATAGAGTTGACGTGCAGCTCTTTCAGAACGAGGTCGATGGCTTCGCGAGTGTGTGCGCAGCGCCGGGAGGCAGGGATGCCCGGGAGGTAGAATAGTTTGACGGTGATGTCGTATTGGGAGCGCTCTTCGGAGAGACCGTGCGCGAAATCGGTCGCGGGGATGTAGAGGGCGTTGTCGCCTTGTTTGGTCCAGGTGGTATAGGGAGGACGGTCGCTGGAGGGGTCTGCGGCGTGTTGGGCGGCTTGGAAGTTTGTGCGCAGTGAGTTGATCAACTCGACGTTGGACTTTTCGGTGGGATGGCGGATGATGGTCTCGCCGCTTATCATAAGATTTCTGTAGTTGTTAGCGGGGGATTGGGGAGAAGTGAGGATGGACGTACGAGGAGGAGAGAATTAGCTTCATGATGACGGGATTCTTCGAGGAGAGAAGCGATGTAGACGAGGGAAAGAGGGTACGGAGATGGAATGCGCTGAAGTTGGCGGGGAGAAAGATAAAGATGGATGATGGATTGGTTCAATTATTGCTAAGCAGCCCCGCGGGGACCGGCCCGCCTGTCTTGTGCTTATCCATCCACACAGACTTCATCCATTCATAACCCTGAGTTTACTCTGTACACTCCGTTTCATTACATGCTAACTGATCTACATCTAGTCGTAGTCCACTGTGGGATCCCAATCCGTGGGCGAGTAGTCGCCTGTGTGCAATAACTTCATCTCCTCGTCTGTCAATGCGAAATCAAACACCTCCGCATTCTCCTGGATCCGACTGGGCGTCACTGATTTGGGCAGAGGCACAAATCCCTACATCGTCAGCATGAAGTCCTTCCAACTGCTTCTAGAGAACATACTTTCTGTAGCCCCCAGCGAATCATGATCTGTGCCGGCGACTTGCCATACTTCTTGCCCAGCTCCTTCAGCACACGTTCGCCCATGCGCGTCCCATGCGCCAAGGGGGAGTAGGCCTGCACCACGATATTGCGTTTCTGCAACCACTCCGCAATCTCCGATCGGTCCAGCCACGGGTGCAGCTCATACTGGCCGACGTCGATCTGTCCCCCTCCACCGGACTTGATGTACTCTTCCAGCTCATCGAGGTGGTGGATTCCGTAGTTCGACACTCCAATGGATCGGGTCTTGCCGGCTTTCTGTGCCTCCACGAGGGCCTTCCACGAGCCGAGACGGGCTTCTTTTCCGCCGTAGGGAGCATGTAGCAGGATTCTACATTCGTCAGCACTTTCTTCTGTCTAGATGTAGGCACTTAGGGTAAACTGACAGGTCAAAGTATTCCTGCTGTGCTTCACGCAGACTTGAGTCGATAGCTCGCTTGGTGCGATCGTATCCCATCGATCCTGGCGGTATCTTGGTCGTAAAGAAGATCTCCGACCGGGGAAGGCCGGAGTTTGCGATGGCGCGCCCACAGGCCTTCTCGTTGCGGTACATGATAGCAGAGTCGACCTGGTATCTGATGAGTGTGACGAATGATGGGAGGGGAAAGTATAACCTACATGACGGTAACCGATTCTGAGTGCTTCGAGAACAGCTTTCTCGGTCTGGGATGCCGGGCTGAGAAAGTTAGTTGGGATGTAAGTTGAAGCCTAGCTCAGTGGACGTACATCAGATAGACCTGGTTCACTAGTTAGTTTGCCTGGTCGGATGAGGAAGGTTCAGGACAAGCTCACCCCGTATCCAAGGATGGGAATCTCATGGCCAGAGTTTAGACGATAAGTCGAACGGAGACTCTGTAGAGCAGACATGGTGGGTTTACTGTCACTGATGATATGAAGGAAGTGCGGAGAAGATAGATTGATGGAGGAGTGGATGGCTACTTAGTTTGATTAGAGAAGGCGAGCGATGAGATCATCGCGGTGGGGTTGGAGTCTGGCCTTAACAATGAAAGCCCTTCTAATTATAACAAATTAACGAATTATACTTTTGTATGTTGTATCTGCATTCTTGGCATCCATTGCAGCATTTTGAAAATTATTCTCTCGTCTCTGTCAGCTGTATAGTACTGTATATTAGTTCATGCTTAGCCCCGTCCGGCTTGGTGGAAGTAGACACAAGGCTGCCTTGTTCATTCCGAGGCTGACCGAATTACTTTACAGCTCCTTTCTCCGCAATAGCGCCATCTTTATTCCGACTTGTAATCTCCATCTGACCTTCTGCAGGCTTGCTTTTGGCACGCCTATCTATAGTGGAACATACTTCTTAATTTGATCAAACCTACCAATGAGCTCTGACAATGGCAAACCCCGACAGAGAGTCTACCGGACACGGACCAAGTCAGGGTGTACCACATGCAAGTAAGTGACTTGTCTCCCTCACGATAAGAAATAGTATACAGTACTAATTCCATCCACAGAAGTAAGTAATGTCTGATACCCCGTGAAAATAAGATACGGTCATCACCCACACACTATCTTCTCTATCACCACAGTAAGGCGCGTCAAATGCGACGAAACCCGTCCAAGCTGCCGAAGATGCACTTCCACAGGCCGCAAATGCGACGGCTATGCGACCAACCTCACCTCTACCCTTACAACCACCGTCCTTCCACGTCCTTCCCACGCCCTCACTGGCTTCCGCTATGCCACAGGGGCGCGTGATATCCGATCATTCCAGTTCTTCTACGAAAAGACCGTCTTCTCTCTAGCCGGCTACTGTGGCTCGGAATTATGGAGTCGGTCAGTCTTGCAAGTCAGTCAGAAGGAGAAGCCCGTATGGCATGCCTTGGTCGCCTTGGGTGCACTGCATGAGAACTTCGAGAATGGTCAGCATCTCCCAGGCCCCTGGTTCAGCCGAAAAAGCCATGACACCTTCGCCTTGCAACAATACCTAGCGGCCATCCGGGCTCTTTTGCGTCCGTCCGAGGATTCAGGTAGTCCATCGTCCACGTATGTAGTCAGTAGTCATGGCGCGACACTCTCGGTGGATGTGTGTCTTATATCATGCGTGCTATTCGTCTGCTACGAGGTAGGTTATCCTACTACTCTTTTTGGAGACACACAGTTATTTGACCATCCCTCAGATCATGTCCGCCAACTACGTCGCAGCCCTCAGCCACATCAGAAGCGGCATGAAGATCCTAGGCGAAGTTGCCTACGACGCAAGCACAGGAACATACCATCATCCCCTTCTCAGGCCATCCACTGTACCGAATCTCGAGATCGATGAGATACGCAAACTCCTCATCCGCCTCCAGATCCAAGTATATGCACTGGTACTACCCATCCCCAACCCAAGCTCCCTACCTATACTAACGATCCCACAAAAGACCCGATCCAACGAAGACAGCCCAGCCTACAGCACCGCCCAACTAAGATGCACATCCAACGACATCATCGAAATCCCCTCAACCTTCACCTCCCTCTCCCAAGCCCGCAACATCTACGAACACTACAGCAGCACATACCGACATGACTACCACACCCTCATCGACACCCAACCCTCAACACCACCATCACCATCACCATCACCAATAACAAACCCATCCCTCGCCCCCCTAATCCATCACTACGCCACCATCCTAACCAAATGGTCCACCGCGCTCGACCACTTCGAACAAACCCGCGGCTCCACCCTCACAACAAAAGAACAAATCGGTCTCAAAATCCTCCAAATCCACCGTCTCGAATACACCATGATGCTCGAACAATACAACTCGGGCTCCTCCGACTCCACAATCTGGGATAGATTCAACCCTATCTTCAAACAAATCATCTCGTTATCAAAATCCGTCGTGCAGATGTCCGGCCCCTCATCATCATCAACATCATCACCCTACTTCACCACAGTAAATCCCACCTTCACCCTCGACCTCGGCATCATCGCCCCCCTCTACACAACCGCCACGTTATGTCGCGACCCTCTCACCCGGCGCGAAGCCGTCGAGCTTCTCCGCTCCTGTTCCCGACAGGAAGGCGTCTTCAGTAGCCAATTATGTGCCATCATGGCGGAGAAGGTGATCGCGCTGGAAGAGCATGTTGCGCTTGCAGCCGGGGATGTGGACTATGCGAGGGATTCTGCGGCTATTACGGGGATGGTCTTGAGGGATGGCAATGAGTTGCAGTATCGGTCGGCGGTCATTACGAGGTGTTGGGAGGTGCCGGAGAAGGCGAGGCTCACGTATGCGTATCCGGAGTTTGATCTGGTGGGCAAGAGGGTTTGTTTGACTATTGGGCAGGATGATAAAGTGCATGTGAATATTCCGTGGTGGCCCGGGGGTATGGTGGTTTTTGGGGCGGAGGAGGGGTGAGATGTTGATGTGGGTAGGGGTGGGGGTGGGGGTTAGTCCTGCGGTTGGTAAGATGAGTATGGTATTAAAGGAAGTGGAAGACTACATATAGGATATCATGTTCAGGAGGGAGTATGTTGTTTGGTGAGGATCTAGAGCTGGGCAGCAGTCCACGTGCGTTCACTGCCTTCGGCTTGATTGATTTCTGGGGAAATCGTATAGTCTTCATATATAGATGTTCAATTTCAAAGCCACTGCGTGGCAATTCTAGTAGACCAATAGAGATCCAAGAGTCAAGAAGCATAAATCATAGATACAAGAAAGTAGGGGCTCCCCATAGGGCCAACTGCTAATCACTTTGCGCCATTTGTCGCCATCCAAATGAAAGGGTTCTCAAACGCAGATAAATCAGACATGTAGGAAAGAGCGTGCAGATCATTTCACCTCGTTGGCGTCAGAGAATGGGCTCTCGACGCGCGGTGGGAGGTGTCGACTGCTTCGGTTAGACTGGGTACCTTCGGGTCTCTCGAGCAAAGATGACGCTCGGGCAGACGCTCGGCGATCGGTCTCTGCGGGTTGATCCTTGAAAGGGCTCTGGCTGACGGCTGGCGAGTCTTCAATCACGGTAGCGGGTCGTGATTGTGTCTCCTCCTTAGCGGTCTCTGTCTTGTTGGTGTTCTGTGCCGGTGTAGTCTTCGGCGCCGAGTCTTCTTCATCCGAGGAGTTTTCGTCGAAGCCTGAGGTAGGCGTCTCTTCCTTTTCTTGGGTACTAGGCGACTTAGAAGCAGCCGCACTATTTGTCTCCGGTTGCTCCTCGATGGTCTGGACGGCGGGAGACGCAGAGGCGTTGTTGTTCTTCTTCTTCGAGGCACCTCTCACCATAACCGGCTTGGCGGTAACAGTGCGTGCGACAATCGAACTGTTGCTGGTTGTCGTGGTGACGCCTGCCTTGGCGAGTTGTGCCTGGGTGATGGCTGGAACAGCGGGCGCATCTGCGGCTCCGTTGATATTGACCACCGCCGCCCGTGTGCGCATGACCTGTTGTGCAGGCATCGGGCTGACGATAGCATTGTTCCGGTAGATAGTGGTGGCCACACTGCTGCGCAAACTCGGGGCGATGCTGCGGCGTTCGTTCGACATTTCCGACCATGTGGAGTCGCGAAGATCGCCAGGCATGAAGAAGTGCTGATCCGGGTGGGCACCGGGCAACGGAGGAACAGGCGGCACGAGGTGGCCCGGGGTTTCTGGAGGCGAGCGGTTGGTAACACCGGGAATATATGCGATCTGAATGACATTGGAGGCGCGAGTTAGGACGGTCGATGCGATCGAATGGGTCGATTTTCTCGACTGTCGGGCGTCGTTGAATGTGCTGGCCTTTTCTGCCACACTGGCTGCCTGTTCCTGGCGCTTCTTCCGGATGAAGAACCACCACACGAGGAACGTCACAATCGCAACAAATGCAATACCACCAATGACTCCTCCCGCGATCGCTCCGGCGTCACTGCCTCCACCACCCGAGTTGTTTGAACTGGAGCTGTCGCTAGACGTTGGGGACTTGACACATTGGGTGCTGGCACACGCAGAACATGACTGACTGGTCATCGTACATGTATAGCCATCGTCGCAGGTCGGGCAAGACGGTGATGTAGAGGGACATGACACACAGCTTCTGAAGGACAGAAGGGAGCGGGCGTACAAGACTTCAACACATCATGTCAGTATTCGGAGGGTGAATCAGACCAGGTGGAAGACATACCATTGGGGGAGGATGTATCGGGAATATGGAAAGACATGATGAAAGGTAAGGTGTGAGTTCGAAAATGGGTCGCGGCGAAGGGTTAAAAACAAGGAGGTATAAGGTTGGGTCGTGATAAAACGCTGCTGCTTCAAATGGGCGAGAAAAGAGTGGCAGGCCGATCAACGGCAAAGCGAACGTGCAGAATGTAGTAAATCTGGTAAAAGAGTGTGGGTTCTCAACGGACGTCAAGTCGTGAGGGTGGTTACGAGGTCATCAAAAGGAGGATGGGTGATTTTAGACAAGCGAACGGATGTCGGTGGTAGGGAAGTCGGTCGGCGGACGGTAGGCAACAACGGTCATAGTATGCGATCTAAGGTGGATCTCCGTTAAGGTGAGGCGGTAGATGATTCTCCCAGTCGGGCGTTTTGGACAGTCAGTGCGATGGACAATTCAACCCCAGTGGCAGTTGATATTTGATAGGTCGCTGGGGTTGATGTCGGAGAAACACGCGTTGGTGGCTGCCAGGTACAGAACCACCGCAGGGACAATGGATTCAGGGGAGATCGAGATGACAGGAGAAGAAGGCGGTATGTCCGGGGGTTGGGGAAGAGGAGGACGAGGGGGAGACCGAGTTGATAGCCGAAAAGGAAGAGAAAGGAGCAAAAGGATCAAAAGGGAAGAGAGAGAGAGGGAGGGAGGAAGAAGAAGCAGAAGTAAATGAGTGAAAGTCGAAAGAAAGAAATGACCGATAATAATAGGAATTCAAACAAACCGAAAGGGAACGAGGAAGTAAGCAGACAAACGACTGAAAGTGGTGGTGGTGGTGGGTGTGGGTGTGTGGAAGTGGAAGGGGGTGGTGGGCGGGAGACGCGGAGAGGGCGAAGGCCTGACTCGGTTGGGTTTAGTGCTGGGCTGTGATGTTTATGCCCACTCACTCCTGCCACTTACTGCCACGGTTCACGCAGGGGAGGGGAACAAGTCAATCCCCCATTCATTTATCTTCCTTCAGTCTATTCTATGGACTATCCAATGTTGGTTCCTCCCAAAAGATGGGTTGACCCTCATCTTCATCTCCCCTCACCACTCAGCATCAACGAAGAACCACATCAAAAGTCTAGCCCATCTATCTACATGTTTGTCTTCCCGTCTTCTTCCAGCCCATCGCACAGGCCGGTTCACTCCTCCATGGCGTGGAACGAACGCAATTAACCCGACCAGCGAGCGGCACACCAGCCATTGTCAATAGGAGACTTAGTAGTCCCGCAATAGTGCCGGGATATTGACCGACTATAGCGAATTCTGCGAGAAACTTGTCCTACTAGCATCCCCCTCTCCGGAAGGAAAATTGATCAAACTATTGGAGATTTATTATTGAAGAGGGGAAAAAGAGGAATCCTATCCAGCCGACCGTACAGAGGGGAGAGGGGAAGGTCGCAGAAATCCCATGAACGGGTCGGTCGCCTACTGGATGTACATGGCTACATGCCTCTGTGCGCTGCTGCAACAAAGATGCCTAACCCTCCCCTGGCATATACGGAACGGTGGAGGAGGGTTCCCATCATGCCCCATGATTCCTTACATCGGGTGTCTCAGGTGCAACCAACCATTCTCTGGATGTGTGCCAGGCACGGCCGGCCGTGCCTGGACTGGATGGTCTCGAACCTCCAGCCCACGTTGGATTCCTTCGCCCGGAAATTAACACGGGATGTCTGGTCGAATCATGAGGCCGCTGCACACCCACCCGCAGCCTCAGGCACGGCAGACGAGATGATCAATTTGATTAACTCATTAATCGAGATTAGATGCCCATTCTGCTTCTTCTTCCTCTTTCCACCATTGGACTCGCCTATTCCTGTCGCCGGCACTTGGGCTAGTCTGTCATTCCCGCAAACAGCCGACCGTTGAAGGACTTGGCCTTTGCCATAGCACCAGATGTCGGGTCCATGGTAGAGACTTGTCAGCCAGCCCCAATAGTCAACCATAGTAGTATTAGAGTTGGGGGTGATTATGATCCATACAGGAGTACGTAGGGAGTCGACTAATCACTAAGACTGAAGGAACACATGTTCGACAGGCCTACTGTAATGAGAACGGCCGGAACGCTAATGGGCGGGTTCGAATGGCTCAAGCCACGCGTCATCCGGTCTCGATCCCGACAGACCAGTCCATGCCACCACTGACCGTTATTCTCTTCAACTTTTGGCAGAGATTTACATGATGTGGGCTAGAAGCTTAATGACAATAACATGAAATAACATGAAGGGTCTCTTGTTGATTCTAGCCTCAGGGTCAACCATACTTTGTATACACAGCAATACTGCACTCATTCTGCACCTGCTGCCATACCGGTATGATCCGGAGTTTGGTCCCGATGGCCCCCAGTTCCATATTCTCTGGTGGATATGGAATTAATCAATATTCATGCCGAGTCTTCAATAGATCTGTGCTTTCTCCATAGGCTGTCAAACCATATGCATTTTATTGATTCTGACAGAAATGACATTTCAATAGTGTCATAGCCTCTCCCTCTCTCTCTCTCCCTTTTCTCTTGGCGGGTGCTTAGCTTGCCATCGTCCAACAGTCAACCATTCGATAGCCTCCACCACACCTTGACTGGACCATCAAATATGAAGAATAAATTGAATTCTGCACATTATTTACATTCTTACTCACATACCCAGATTGTTGGCTGGTTCAAGTTGGGGGGCCACGGTCATCATCTTTGGGGCCATCCCCTGAATGCAAACTCCGTGCCTCTGACTGGTCAGATGGCATGATTTGGCCCTGAGATTGACAAAGCGTCATCTTCCCCTGGATGTCAATCCAACACTATTTTGGTAGTTACTAGTAGTAGACGTACCAGAAGCTGTAGATTTCATCATCAGACTAAGATACAAATACTTAGCATTTGTGAAAAGATCATATTGAGATGCACCGGGCGAATACTATATGTAGTAGGCTCGGAAGCCACTATATTTGGACTACGTAACATCATACTATTAGATATCCATATAGAAGTAGTCTACTACGCGAGATAACTATATTTTGGGTATATTTATACAGTAATTAGCGTAATACAATATTCATTCGTCTGTTCTTCGGCCCCTTATGGATAAGCCTTTCGTCTGACCTCTGCATGATTCCTTCAAATAAGACTTAGTAAGCGTCTGATGAAGATGTCCAGCAAGTTTATCTTGTTGAAGATGACACAGGTGCTAGCCAAATATAGATACCTGAAGATACATAGTCATCAGCGTAGACTTAGATACTGTAAAGTTGAAAAAGCCACAAAGCAGATCATTCGATGACAATGCGTGCTCTTGCATACAGTACACCTCCTCCAGTATATAGTGCTACAGACATAAATATCAGCAAAGTATTGTTGAAATCCTGCCCATACGTACCATATGAAGTATATATGTGGGCAGGCCGTTAAACGCGGATGCGAGCGGCTGATAAGCTGCGTCGAGGTAAGTAACCTGATCCAGCGATGACATGAATGCTAACGTTCGCGACGACGGCAAGGACTAGAAAAAGAAAGAATTAATGGTGAGATCGAGCGTGCCAAATGGCCTATCCTCGCACAGGGCTCTCATGTATTTCGGCGACATCAGCCAGAGGGGTGTAATCAGGAGCATCATCCTCCCCGTCAATCGCGTTCCACTCTGGCCGCGATGTAGGATCGATAGGTATCCGGCAAGGTCGATGGCTCGGTTGATCATGGGTGCCGTCGAGTAGTGGTATCAGAGGGGAGATGCCGTTGTGTTGACGTGGGCACTGTTTGGTAAGTGTCTAGTAGATGTCGAGAGTCCTGATAAAAGCTCGGCATATTTACTACCTTTAGGCTTTTACCAGTTGTCCATCCTTCAGGGTGTGGGCCTGAGTATTATCCGTGATTGTTATGTGCTACTGCTGTGCGGCAGGCGCAGGTGCGTTTCGTGTTGTTGTACCTGTCTTTCAAAGGATTTCCCCCATACATCGATGATCAATGTATTTTCTATGTCCCAGCACCCTATCTGTGAAAGAGAAGATGACTGGTATTCGACCTGCTCATCAATTTCCATCAGTATGATGTAGTCTTTTATCGATAGCTTGTCTGAAGACCTAGCGACCTCCTATTCCAAGACGTTTATGAACATCTCACCGATTTGTACGGTCGAGCTTTGTGATAGGTTAGAGAAAGTTCTACGATATCTCGCTAACAAGTGCTCGTTCAAGATATCAGTATATTTATCCAATCCCTCATCCTACTTAAGAGTATGAACTAGCATTATGTTAATGAGAGTACTGAGATCAAGGATCTCTGACTTTTATAAGCTGAAGGTGGGATATTCTAAGATGTTGGAATGCGGCTGGTGATTGCGCTGCAGAGAGATTATATAGTCTAGGAAGCGAGGCTTCACCTATTTATATCATGAATCAAATTGGAACTTTCACCGTAAACAGGCACTTCAGGGCATCCTTCACTCGTCTGGTCTTATCCATGGCCTTTCAGCTCCTAATTATTCCTTCCTTCCGAGGTAGATAGCTACGAATACGACCCAGGAAGCTCGAATATGTGGCAGTTTATTTCTCTCGTGGTAAGATGATAAAAGTACTACGTGCCTCCGCTTCGAGCGTACTAGCAAGGGATAGCAACTCTAAGATTGACAATATACACAGGTAAAGACCTTTCGATACGGACTTCTGATTGCGGAAGGAGGGGCCAAACCAATTTCTGCGGCGTCAACAGGTGCAGAAATGGAGGCTAGCCTGTGATCGTGGTTGTGCAGTAGGAAATGGTTGCATTACTGCCAAGAAATTAATGAAATAGGATTGAGTCAAGCAGTAAACAAGAGCTATTGTCCAAAATACTACAGTTAAGCTTGATGAAATAATTAAAAAAGAAATCGTGGCAGCAACTAATTTGTATATTATTATAGTCAGTAGCCGCACTCTAGTAGTATATAATGGTTAACATTGAATGATTTTTTCCTGCATAAATGGACTGGATGATAGTATGGTAACTTCAGCATCAGCCATTATATATAATGTTTAGCACTTCAATGAAATTCAACGAATCATACTACTAGTAGAAGAATGAGTTGTATCGGTGTTTCAGAAAGTCCTCAAGGACGTATTGGTCAGCTGCTGACCCATAGTACAACGATATGATAAAAACAACAGCAACCCTAATAGTACACCGTACAAACAAGCATATTCTACCAAGCATCCACCGCAACGCGCATATTCAGCAGTGCCCGAAGCATGCAAAAGGGTACATGCATAGAACTTTCGCACGAGTCATGCACGATCAGAACAGCCCGAGACTGCGCCCGTTGCTCGTTACGATATGCATACTTCTCCTGTATGGGTCTTCTTTTCAAGTACTTCCCTTTCTGTGGCTATTTTTTCCACCCCTGAGCTTTGCCCCGACGGTGCTATCATGTAGTTGAAAGGATCTCCGTATTCAACTTAATACACCGCTTTATGTCTTACTCTCAACCGAAGTCGTTACTTAGTTCTCAGTAGCCGCTGACGATCTGTCTCTCATTCCCGAGACAAGCGGCCAATAGTGAATGCTTCTGCGCTTAGCCTTTGGGACTAAGTGATAGTAGTGGTACCGAGGGTCTTGCTCTATATATATCCCGCCGCTAGTAAATGGACCCAGTGGCTGCAGTGGGATAACTACCATGTATACTACACTGCCGCAATAGATGCACTTCACGACGCACATTCTACTTAGCACATGCGTTTGCTTGGCTTTCACATGTGTTTAGATCTGAGCCTATCGCATGTGTGTGTGATCTTGCATCAAGCAACTCTCCTCGCTGCCTGTATGTGCACTGCGGGACAACTCAGTCTTCGGAGATTTAATTATGTGAGAACAGACTAAGCATATACCTAGCATAGATAGGAAAACAATACCGGGAGTGTTTGATGAAGATGTTAGCTACTTGTTGATTACTGATTTAAGCTACGGTACTACTACGTTGCAATCTTGAATCGTATTAATTTAATTAGGTTACAACAGCCCAGCGGATGGGACTGGCTACAGTTTGTAATATCGGTTGTAACCCGTGAAGGAAGAATCACATTCTAAGGTTCAGACAAAGCGGAACTACCCGACTACCTTCCAGCGTGGCGACTTTTCTGATGTAAGAGAACCGGTATTCCCACCGTTCGTGTGCTACTCAAAATATAGCCAAATAAGAGGCAAATTCTGCCAGCCCAGGGCTTCAGGGACGCCGATTCGTGCTCCAGGGAAACTCTGTGTGACTTTGTCGCGCCTTTGGAGGGTGCCACATTGTCTGACTCGCGATTCACGGGACAAGGGCGACTGTGTTGTCACCGGGTGCTAAAGATAGGATATAGAGAGCTCGAAGCTAACCCCGATGAGGGTTTAGTCCCCTGAGCGCCATAGCTTTCTGTGGCAGTGATGATCATTGACCATGGCAGAGAGTTGACCAGTGGCATCAAATGATGGCTTGCAAAAGAAAAAGAAAAAAGGATATGTGTGTGGACATGCTGGCCATTACCTAATATCAGCACTACGCTCAACAATTGCCAGCCGCTTTGAAACCGCGGCTGACCAGTGAGCATGACCCCTCCAACCGCTTATTGGGCTTTGACTGTCTTTCAATGATCCAGTGTGACCTTGGCAAAATTAAGGATTCCAGGCTAGCGTCGCTGGTGGCTCCTGATTGACCAACGGCTGATAAACACGGTCTTGAGGCCCCTAGTGAAGGGAGTCTTGAGTTCCCCACAAGCCTATATTTGGCTGGGGAGTTTAGGGAGTTTAGACCTTTTTGGGTGAGCCCCGCCCCCTGAAACATTCGCCGTATTTTCTGTATTTCGGCGATACCAAACCTCCCCAATACCAGCCGCAATTAGTTGTCCGATCTCCGATAGGTCACTTTGAATACTGGTTACTATGGCAGACAGTATGGGGGCCAGTTTGGGGGCACTTTTGGGGGCGATGTTTCGTGTTTGGCAACAGGCAATCTACTAGGTAAGATCAATGACAGCTCTCTAGGTTAGCGAAATCTATGAACTTACCGGGAAGGGGGAATTCAACCTGAAGATTTAGGGCCCGTCCAGTGCTGACTATTGGTGGCTGATGTTGTTTGTTGTATGTGGCCCAGTTATGCTGGCGAGGGATGTGGAATGTCCATACTTTCGAGGCCAACAGGACCTTGGAAGTTATCTTGACTCCCTATCGTCAAGCCACCTTATGCTATGCTTCGACATCATTATTACCAATTGTTGGATGTTATTGCAGCACGCGTCTGCTAACTATTGCATGATACGAGCAGGACGTGATAGCAATGCAAGAAGTGCCATGGGTGGCAAGAATGATATCCATCGGAATCCTCGATAGAACACGGTGTAGACTTAGTACTAGGTACTTGACCGCCATGCCACACACACAGCCACCAACTAAGGAAGGGTATTACATGGTACCTGGCAGGGTTACAGTGACAATACGGGACGGGAAAGGTTGTGTTTTCAGGGTAATGCGGTAAAATAAAGAAACTCAAGTGGACCAGGGTCCATATCCACTGGCCCGTAATCAGGGTTCAGACCCTTGATAATTTTAAATACATAACACTTGAAGTGCGGAGCAAAGAGCCAAGGAGGGGGAGCAGAACAATGCCCTCAACTTGTAACAGTCAGGGGCGTTATGTATTGACAGGGAAAATTACTGCGAGTGGCTCTGCTCGCTCTGTCCATAACAAGTAAGTAAGTAGGAGAAAGAGTCTGGAAGGAAAGATGGAAGAATATGATGCAGGAGACGATCCGTGGGCAAATAGCCTGCCCAACCTTGCGGTCAAAAGAAGAAATATGAGGGGATACCAAAGAGGAAATGGCCAAACAGCCCAGCAATTCATTCCCTTCCCCCAACAAGGCGTGTTTGGATTTCTTTTTTTTCCATTTCGTGAATGTACAGAACAAGAACCTGTGAATAATTAGGAATACTCTTTTTTACCTTCAATTTCTCAGGTGGTAGATCAAAGGGCAGCAAGTAAGACATAGAGACAGACAAGTGACAATAATTAGGATTTGATCGACTAGTAAGCCAGCAGCCATCATCGGTATCCGCCGTGATCGCAGGGAGATCTCAAGTGTATCCAGCCTTTTGGTTAGGAATCCAATTACCCACACCCCCCCCAAGGCTTTCCACCCCCGTCTCGAACACTGCCAACCAAAAAAAACCGCCAGGGCGACCCTTGACCATTACCATTTCAAAGGAAAGCTGTCTCTCTCAGCTTGTCGTGCCTTTCTGGGCCTTTTTTCCCTTTTCTTCCCTTCTCTTCCTATTTTTTTCTTTTTTACCCTTTTCCTATCCTGAGACCTTCTCGTCCATCCCCATCCCGCCCAGTCTCACTTCTCTCTTCCTCTTTCTTTCCCTTCTCATCCTCCTCCTGCCCCTCCCAGCTTTGTTTTGGGAAACCCTTTCACCAAAACCCCAACCCTTCTTGTCCGCCACGGTCAGACGGGCTTCCCGAGCTTCTACCCTCATCCATCACCTGCGATCGCAAGGTACCTCTGCTCAGCCCTGGCGGCTTTTTCACGTTCCTGCTGTTGCTCGCGCCCTTCGACCAGTTTCTTCTTTCAACTGTTCGTCCCCCCTTCGCTCGTTTCTACCCTCTCGCGCATCCCCGGCCATTAGAGCGCTTGTTTGTCTGCTCCCTCCGCTTGGGGTGGTTGCCCGCTTTATTTACTTGCTCCGTTGTCTGACTTCCCCAGTCGGTGCACTCCTTGCTCCTTGTTTCCCTGATACCCTCACGCCTCATTGCTTCTTGCGCCATCCTTGCATTCTGTTTCCACGGGGCTTTGCTTGAGCGTCCAAATTCAGTTCACACATATTACGACTTTAATATCGTTCATCAACCATGGCCTACCAAGGCACTGGTAATCACTCGCCTCCCGGCTACGACGATGGTGGACATCGGCTCCAGGATCTACCTGCCGGAAACAACGTAGGTTTTCAGTTCTACTGGCCGTGTGACATCGCGCCTGGACAAAACAATCAACTAACATGAAAACTTGGATGATCTCTAGTATGAAGAAGAAGCGTCTAGAGGATTGCTATCGAGCCAAACGGGCCCGTTCACAGGTCCATTCGATGACCCCCAGCAGCGCAATCTGTCCCCGGCTCGGCCCACCTCTGGATACAGCTTGACCGAGACATATGCTGCCGATGCGGGTTATCATGATCCCTACAGTGCAGGTGGCTCTGTTTACTCTGCACAGTCTGGAGAGAACCCCGCCACTGCCTTTGGCGTCCCCGGCCGTGTGGCTTCGCCCTATGCTCGTAGCGAAACCTCGTCAACAGAGGCTTGGCGCCAGAGACAGGCCCCTGGAGGTGCAGGTAGTGGTGGCGGCGGTGGTGGTCTGCGCCGCTACGCTACCAGAAAGGTCAAGCTTGTGCAGGGCTCAGTCCTGAGTGTTGACTACCCGGTGCCTAGTGCTATCCAAAATGCAATCCAGGCGAAGTATAGGAACGACCTGGAGGGCGGAAGCGAAGAATTCACACACATGCGATGTAAGTTACGCAACGGCCCAATCATGCAGCTTCTCGGAACTAACGGAGAATTCCCTTGGTACAGACACCGCAGCCACATGTGATCCTAATGAGTTTACCCTTCATAATGGCTATAACCTTCGTCCTGCCATGTACAACAGACATACCGAGTTGTTGATTGCTATCACGTATTACAACGAAGACAAGACTCTTACAGCTCGTACGCTGCACGGTGTTATGCAAAACATTCGTGATATTGTGAATTTGAAGAAGTCCGAATTCTGGAACAAGGGTGGACCGGCCTGGCAAAAGATTGTGGTCTGCCTGGTTTTCGATGGTATCGACCCCTGTGACAAGGATGTGCTGGACGTCTTGGCCACCGTTGGTATTTACCAGGATGGCGTCATGAAGCGTGATGTTGATGGAAAGGAAACCGTTGCCCACATCGTATGCGCAACCCCAGAATATACACATCTGGAGAATGCTAACAGCTGATAGTTCGAATACACGACGCAATTATCCGTTACCCCCAACCAGCAGCTCATTCGCCCGACAGATGACGGCCCCAGCACGCTACCTCCAGTTCAGATGATGTTCTGTTTGAAGCAGAAGAACAGCAAAAAGATCAACTCTCATAGATGGCTATTTAACGCTTTCGGCCGTATCTTGAACCCCGAAGTCTGCATTCTTCTCGATGCTGGTACCAAGCCTGGCCACAAGTCACTTCTGGCCTTGTGGGAGGCCTTCTACAACGACAAGGATCTCGGAGGTGCTTGTGGTGAAATTCACGCCATGTTGGGTAAGGGTTGGAGAAACCTCATCAACCCTCTCGTGGCAGCCCAGAATTTTGAGTACAAGATCAGTAACATTCTGGACAAGCCGTTGGAGAGTTCTTTCGGTTATGTCAGTGTGTTGCCTGGTGCTTTCTCGGCATACCGATTCCGTGCAATTATGGGTCGTCCATTGGAGCAGTATTTCCATGGTGATCATACTCTCTCCAAACAGCTGGGTAAGAAGGGTATCGAGGGAATGAACATCTTCAAGAAGAACATGTTCTTGGCCGAGGACCGTATCTTGTGTTTCGAGCTGGTTGCCAAGGCTGGCTCAAAGTGGCATTTGTCATATGTTAAAGCCTCGAAGGGTGAAACTGACGTACCTGAAGGTGCTGCGGAGTTTATCTCGCAGCGTCGTCGTTGGTTGAACGGATCCTTCGCCGCCGGTATCTATTCGCTCATGCACTTTGGACGTATGTACAAGAGTGGCCACAACATCATTCGGATGTTCTTCCTTCATATTCAGATGCTGTACAACACTTTCTCAACGATTCTTACATGGTTCTCTCTGGGTATGTTTAGCGATTCTATTCGTCTATTGCACAAATTTGAGGACTTTACTGACTTTAGAAACCAGCTTCTTACTGGCTTACAACATCGGTCATCATGGACCTTGTCGGTACTCCTAGCCCTAGCAACGGTCACACTGGTTTCCCCTTTGGCAAGACGGCAACTCCCATCGTCAACACCATCGTCAAATATGCCTACCTTGGTTTCCTGCTCCTCCAGTTCATTCTGGCCTTGGGTAACCGCCCCAAGGGTTCTCGGTTCTCGTACCTCGCATCTTTCGTTGTTTTCGGTATCATTCAACTCTACGTTGTCGTCGATGCACTATACCTGGTGGTCCGCGCTTTCAGCGGTAGCGCTCCGATGGACTTCGATACCACACACGGCGTTGGTGCGTTCCTTGGTTCGTTCTTTGGGTCGACCGGTGCCGGTATCATTATCATTGCGCTTGCTGCCACTTTCGGTCTCTACTTCGTCGCTTCGTTCATGTACATGGACCCGTGGCACATGTTCACCTCGTTCCCTCAGTACATGGCCGTGCAGTCTTCTTACATCAACATTCTCAACGTGTATGCATTCAGCAACTGGCACGATGTGTCCTGGGGTACCAAGGGTTCTGACAAGGCGGATGCTCTTCCCTCGGCGAAGACGACCAAGGAAGGAGGCAAGGAAACTGTCATTGAGGAAATTGACAAGCCTCAAGCCGATATTGACAGCCAGTTTGAAGCTACGGTGAAGCGTGCTTTGACACCATATGTGGCTCCCGAAGAGAAGGATGAGAAGAGTTTGGATGACTCGTACAAGAGCTTCCGTACGAGACTGGTAACATTCTGGATCTTCAGTAACGCTCTGATGGCTGTTTGCATTACCAGCGATGGTGTGGATAAGTTTGGCTTCACGGTACGTATATCCTCTGCAACAAACAGAGTCTCGATGTTCCAAAAGACGAAACTAACGGCTTCATACAGAACTCTGCCACCGATCGTACGTCACGTTTCTTCCAGGCTCTACTGTGGTCCAACGCCGTTGTCGCGCTATTCCGCTTCATCGGAGCTTGCTGGTTCCTGGGTAAGACCGGTGTGATGTGTTGCTTCGCCCGCCGCTAGAGAAGGTGCGCAGCATAATGAACGAAAAGTTGTCAATGAGGGGTGCTTTGCTCATGGCCGGCAGAGGCCTCGTGGAGTTATTCTTGGCACATTTTTGTCGCAATCTTGTATTCTACATACGATGTTTATTCTTTGTTTCCCAGGTTCGGCCGCGTTTTGTTTCAGGTTGGATTTGCACATTTCATAGGGACTGCAGGCACGACAATGTTTTGTAGACTCTTAGCGCATTAGAAATGGGATGTATTCAAGGGCGTGGAAGGCGATCGGATGACTGTTTTACGCGGGATTCCCACAGATAATGTTCAAAATGAAACCCTCATAATAACAAGAAGTTGCATGGCCATATACTGAATGATAGGAAGAGAGAATGTAATAAACCGCTGATATGGGCATGAGTGGCAACTGGTACGGGCAGGCGGTGGTGCAATGGGTGGCCCATGGCGTCAGGCCGCCGCCCGCTCTCTGCGGCAGTCCGGCTATCACCTGTCTCTGATAATCGCTCTGTTGCCTTTCTACACGCAATAATACACACACTTTTCTTCTGTCGTGGCCTGCCGCCTCTCTAAGTTGAGATACAGGACTGGCTTCTCCTGTCTTGCCACCGTTCCCTCTACGCTGAAGTGGAGATCAGTTGTACCGGCCAACGAAAGGACCCCGCAGCCTTTCCTCCCCTCTTCACCCACTCAACACTACGAAGACTCTGGGATAGCGATCCCATACGAAAATCCCTAGACCTAACTTTTTACAAACAACTCTAGATCCTACCAAACCCACACACAGGTGATCGCGAGCCCGCAAGATCAGCCACGATGTTGAAGATATGGTCTATGGTATGTCGCGACTGATTCCATCCATCCACCTGCCAACCAACCAACCAACCCATATGTACCCTCCTTCCACCTCACTAACACCCTCTCAAACAGAAACAACAGCAGCAACAAGCTGAGAATGCCGAAGGAGCTGCCGGTAAAAAGAAGAAGAAGGTCACCGCCGCTCAGCTGCGCGTGCAACGAGGTCTGAATGTCCCTACCTACCTATCTACCTGCCCTACTACCTTTTCTCAAACCACACCACACCCCTCAGGACATTTAACTAACATCGAAATCGACATATGAAACAGACCTGCAAGAACTCACCCTCGGAAGTACAATGAAAATGTCCTTCCCGAACCCCGACGACATCCTAAACTTCACTCTTACTATCGAGCCGGACGAGGGCATGTACAAGGGCGGCGCTTTTCACTTCAACTTCACCGTCAATCAGAACTTCCCGCATGATCCGCCAAAGGTCAAGTGTACGCAGAAGATCTACCATCCGAATATTGATCTTGAGGGGAATGTGTGTTTGAATATTCTGAGGGAGGATTGGAAGCCCGTGTTGAATTTGAATGCGGTTATTGTGGGGATGCAGGTGGGTTCTTTTTTCTTCCTTTTTATCATGATTGTTATTTTGTGAAAGGAGTGGAGTGTTAACCTTTTACGCTTTGTTTAGTTCCTCTTCCTCGAGCCGAATGCTTCCGATCCGCTGAACAAGGAGGCCGCCGACGATCTGAGACAGAACCGGGAGGCGTTCAAGCGCAATGTTAGGACATCGATGGGTGGTGGTAGCGTGAGGGGGATACAGTATGAGCGTGTTATGCGGTGAATGGTGGTGGTGGAGTCTGGCCTGCCCCTGTGTGGTTGGTAGGTAGTGATTGATATTAGTTGCTCTTGCCTGATGGGCATAAGGTATAATGGTGGTGGTGTGGTGGATGCTGTGTGTCTGTGTCTGTGTGTTGTGTTGATTAGGGGGAGTTTTACGTGCATGGCCTACATTTCCACTTGGATTAATTAGCGACTGGATAGATTCCCTGCTTATGAATGAAAGAAATGAACACATTTTTATGAGATTACTGCCGAGTAACATGTACAATACTGACCCTCACTACAACCTACAAACCACTTAATGTCCCTCCCTACGACAAACACAAGAACAACCAACCAGATAATCCCAAACAACCGCATGTATGAGTACAAGCGTATATACAACAGACAAAAAAAAGCACTCGAGGAAACGTTCTTCTTTCTTCCCTTCTTCTATTCTTTCAATTCCACAAACACATTCAACTCGCACCATCAACCGGGAAACCCAACCCAAAACCCACGCAATATACCAGACAACAAAAACAATGTCAATCACATCCTATCAGCTACACATTCCCCACACTCCACTCCCCCAAATCACGTAGCTGACGCATCCCGGTTCCATCCGGCATAATTAAACGAGGTACATTGGGAGGCCCCCAATCAACGCGCGAAGTCGAATGCATTTGTGCTGCCGATGCGAATTTACTGCTGGGCAGCAGCGCGCTCGGCCTCGAGGCGGGTGTAGTAGTCGTCACGGGCGCGGACGCGGGGGAGGTGGAAGCCTGTATAGTGGTTTATCGTTAGTGACTGGTACCTCTAGGGTGTAGTTTGTTGAAAAGGGAAGGAGGAGGAGGGATTGGAGGAAGGTCTGTCGTATACGTACCGTACCACCAGAGGTAGCCGAAAGTGGTACCGAAACCTGCGAGATAATCAAATCAGTCAATTGCTCTTTTGGCGGGTCGGTATTTTGCGCGCGGGGCAGATGCCGATGTAACAATGCTTGTATGCAATTCGAATATATGGGTAGAAAGGAAATCATATGAAGACATCTCGGGTCAATGGAAGCGCGGGGTCGTAGGCGGACTCACCGAAAGCGGTGCTCAGGTCAAGGACCAGGGTGCGGCGGAGCATCTGAAGTGCAAAATGTTAGCTTGTAGGGTTCCAAATCTGGGGGAGGCCATGGGGTTGTGGATGTGGTCCCGGGTGAGTTGGGTAGGAGGAGGGTTGTACGTACGCCGGTGATGGGAGCAACGGAGGCCATTGTGAGATATTAGTGTCTTCAGACAGATCTGAGAAACGGGTAGAGGAGATTCGCGCAAGAATTGACCTGCTGGGGTGGTGGTGGGGGGTGCGGAGAGGAGAGGAGAGGAGAGGGAAAGCGAGCGGTGATGTCGAGAGTGAAAGTCGAGGTGAAGCTTTCCGGGCCGGCGTGTAGTAAGCGACGGCTGTGAGTGGCCTGACTTTTGAGGGTGGGTTGCTGCTGCGAACGTTTGGTGATAGCCCGAATACTACACAGTTTATAAGGGGGTATATTTATGAGTTTGGCTATTGTTATCTAAATTTATAAATATTGTTATTGTAATTCTGGTTTACCAAGTCCTGATTGAGCATTGAAGCTGATGACTGGGCTGTAGTGGTATCTGCCTCAGGCATAAACACGTGACCTCACGCGGTTCTTGTGTTTGGCGCCGTTTCTGGATCTCTCCCCATCCATCCATCAAGACCACCGGCGCCATGGTCTCCTCGGAACCCACTGTCAAACGATCCTCTTCCTCCATACCAGAAGGTCCAGATGCCCCTGATGTAAAACGAACGAAACGCCCTTATCACCATCATCATCGCCTACAAAGTCCCGTCGCCCCAGCGTTGCCGGAACCCGCCATTGTCGACGAGGCCTGCATCGACCATGTCCTCAACCGGTCTATCGGACAGTATCTACAAGAATGCGGATTTGATATCGCCGACCCTGCAGCGCTGGACGCCTTTCGCAGGGTAACGGAGGAATGTACGTTGGGAAACCTAGGTCCCAGAAAGAATTGTTCATGATATTGATGGATTTGGTCACTAGATCTGCTGAGATTCGCCTCATATGTGCGCCAAGCGATGCTCTCCAGCCGGCGCATACAACCAATCCCCCAAGATTTCGAATATGCCTTGAAAAGACAGTCCGTGCCGGTCAGCGACCTCATTCCGCACGTGAAACGCCATCCAAACATCGAACCTATCCCCACCCTTTTATCAAGTCCTCCGCCGGAAGAGGACTCGTTCAAGACTTTGCCATCCTTAGGGCCGCAGCTCAGCGGCGAAGACGATCGCGTTCACAACGCCCATATCCCGAAACATTTCCCCGATTTTCCTAGTAAACACACGTATCGTCACACACCGGTCTTCACGGAACGAGAGCAAGATCCGCGCGTTATTCGAGAGCGAGCAACAGAGGATGGTCGGCATGGCGAGGAGGCGCTGCGCAAGTTGGCCCGTGCGGCGTTCAAAGACAATAATTCCGGCTCATCGGTCCGGGATAAGAAGCAATGGGGACGACGAGCGGAGAGTATGGATGGAATGTTTGAGAAGACTGTTAGAGCACTCGCAAAGAAGATACAGAAGCCCGGGACGGGCCCAGACTCTGCTGGTCCCATGGAGATCGACTCGGGAGCTGGTGCAGATAAAGCCTCCCGCTCGAAGCTGGCGTTGAACATAGAGCTGCCTCCTATCATCAACTGCGAGAGAGACCTGTGGCGACGGGCGCCTACATCTGGGAGCCGACGAACGGAGGAAAACAAGCTATCAAGTGCAAAGGATACGCCCGATATGTCGAGGGTGGATAGCTGGGTGAATGCATCATGAGGTGTAGGATAGGCAGAGGCGTCAGGCGTTCAGCTTTTTCATCGTAGCATAACCGAGAAGATACCCATGGAGCAGGATGTCAAATAATGCAACTCAATTGGTTAATCACATAGCTTAACTGCCATCGTGATCATCAGTAGAATGAACGCCAGTTCAACTCCTTGCCATGCATGTAATCGAAAGGAGCCTTCCATCAGGCCTTTGAGCTGCTCTCCGCAGCACGTTTACGCTGCTCTTCTTCTTTCGCTATCCTGATCGGCTCCCAAGCAGTCGTTTCTACCGTTAATCCGCCAGCGCATCTAGCATGAAGTGACTGTCAGCATTGAACCATTCCCTCAAGCCCATAGCGAAAAGGTAACTCACCGGCGAAACAGCCTCACAATCGGCTTGCAATTCACCACACCCGGCTTAGGAATCCCCTCTTGCGGCGGATTGCAGGAGTATTGGACCATCTCGAGCAGCTTGCATTTCTCCAGCTCGACAGGGCCGCCTTTGCGACGCTTCTCTTGGAAGTTCTTGGTAACGATGTTGACGTGGTCTGGAAGGCTCTCGGCGGAGAAAACGGGGACAAGAGGAGCCATGGTGATGAAGGTGTCTAATTATGGTTCTGAGTAATGTCCTCTAAGTATGGTGGCTTGAACAATTCATCCGCAGCTGGGAATAATGACGAGCAAGACAGGTGGTATTGGGGAAAGGAAGAAAAGTGGATGGAGCGGAAGCGTTCGCGTTCGCCGGCGCCGCGATCCATCCTTACCAGTTATCGTCACAACGGGTCAGCCCGCGGTGATTTTGTGATTCTATCAACTCCTGGAGGGGTTCGGAGTCCGCCACTGCTTATCCATTATTTCAGCGGACAATGTTGAGCTTTGTCACATTTGTAGATATTGCAATTGTGTCAAATGGCTGCCAACTTTGGGGGAGAGCTTCTTGGGGAGGTGTATGAGGAGAGACTTGACGAGGTATGTATGGGTCGGTGTCTCGGTTTACTGCATGGTTCTGCATCATAGCCTTATTGTTCTTTGTGGATACTTTTTTGAAACCTTGCTGAATGGATGCTAACATGAGAAGCTTCTGCACGACTTAAGAAACCTATCACATGGAATTGGTGATGATGATGCCTTAAGGCCCAGACTGGGTGTCCAAGTGCTTGATGATCTTATGGGTATTTTCACAACGCCCGCCCCTGCTGCACAGAACATACATCTGGAAGGGGATCTGCAACATGATCATTCTGGGGATGCCCAGGGAGCAGACTTCCATGGCACTGAGGGCGAACTCCCAGCTCAAGGCGAACTCATTAACGATGAGCATGTAGGCATGCATAGTTTGCCGATGTTGAACATCAACCGCACAGAAGCAGTCCTGGAGATCTCTAGCAAGCTGTCTGCAGCTGGAAAGTCCCATCTTCTGTATTGTCTCGCTGCAGTCGCTATCTTACCATCTGTGGTCAATGGCGTCCCGCTCGGTGGGCATGAATCGGCAGTGATATTCATTGACACGGACGGTCGGTTTGACGCTGAGCGGCTGAGAGCAGTGCTTAGAGGGTTTGTTCAGGCCAGAATTGACGTAATAGCTGAGGAATCATCTGAAATGTCATCTGAAGCGGACAATTTTGATATCGAAACTATGCTTGTCGCCAGTCTGCAACATGTCCACGTCTTCCGTCCACAATCATCAGCTGCTCTCCTTGCTACACTTCAAAACCTGGATGCCTACATTCTTGACTTATCTCGCCATTTGTCCTCCACTAGACCCGTGCATACTATCTACCTGGATAGTGCCAATGCGTTCTTCTGGCAAGATAGATTACAAGACGAAATCTCTCGAGTGGAAGATATCGGGCGGGTCGATGCTGACTTGGAGCATGAGCGTACTCGGAAGCGACGGTTCCAGATTTCAGAACTATATGCTGCCTTTGTGGCGGAACTGAAAAGATTACAGCGACTTTTAGGTTGTATGGTGGTTTACACCACCACTGTTCAAGGAAGATTCCACGGTGCTCGTGGTGGTAACCCAGCGTATGCACCATCAGGACCGTACGACTTGTATAACCCACGCCCCTCTATAACAAAGGCGCCTTCTTTTGGGTCTGATCTGCCAGCTCCTTGGGGTAGATTTCCTTCTCTACGAATTGTTGTTCAACGTGATTCAGTTCGTCCCTTTCCGCCTACTATGACTGCGCAAAATGCGCAGCGCGGTGCGCCTCGTCGACAAGAAGTTGTCAGTCACGGAAGGTTCTCCGGATGGGTAAATGAATGGAGACGCGATGAATGGCCTCGTAGGGTTCTGGAGGGCCTGAAACAAAATAATGGCGGCAAATTCGCCTTTCGCATAGGAAGAGACGGGGTCGACATCGGTTGATACATTTCTCATCTAGCTATGTACACTGTACAGACGTGATTTGAGACAGTGGCCCCAAGCAGATTATACATGCTTTCTTAACTGAACAACTTTCCGATGGCCTCAACCGTGGTGTTTCCACCGCTGAACACGATGCCCACATCCCAACCCTCAGGAGCCTCCTTCTCGACCAGTCGTCGGAACTCCTCGTTATACAGGCAAACGGCCAAACCCACCACAGCGCTTGGCTCCACCATTACCTTCATGCGCTCTAGAACCAGACGCATTGCCGCCTTGATCTGCTCCTCCGTCACGGCATATACGCCAGCGACCTTATTCCGGTCCGAGATCACCTCCCAGTTCAACAAGCCAACCGGTGTCCGCAACCCGTCCGCGATGGTCAGTGTCGACACTGCCGGAACCCGCTCCCCGGCTTCCAGTCCGCGCCGGCAATCGTCTGCGCCCTCGAAACTGGGTTCCGCACCAAACACCTTGGTTGTCTTGTCTGAGAAGAAGGTTGCAACACCGGAATTGAGACCACCTCCACCAATGGGTGTGAAGACAGCATCAAGAGCCTTAGACCCCTCGCGGATGCTCAGATGTGGCTTCTCAGCCAGCAGCTCCTTGTACTGCTCCTCAAGCTCGAGAGCGGTGGTACCCTGGCCGCAGATGATATTGAAGTCATCATAGGGCGGGATCAGAATTGCACCGGTCTTGGCTTGCACATCAGCGACGACAGCTTCGCGCTCGACGCTCGTGGAACCACTGAAGATGACCTCTGCACCATGGGAGCGCGTCCCAGCGATCTTGGAGGGCGTGCTAATACTGGGCATGATAATGTAGGCGGGAACACCAAGGGTGGCGGCAGCGAGAGCCAGAGCTTGAGCGTGGTTTCCTACACGAACTGATAAATAAGGTGTCGCTTCATTCAAAAGTGTTTGGGCCTACCAGAGCTGTGGGTGATAACACCCCGTTTCTGTACATCCTCCTTCCCCCGTTCGGTGATGAGTCGTAACAGAGCGTGGAAGGCTCCTCGGGCCTTGAAGGCACCTATCCGTTGGTAGTTCTCGCATTTGAAGAAGAAGCGGAACTTGGGATTGGCAGGAGCTTGGCCCTCAAAGGAGGTGCCAGTCA